TGATTTTGCCTTCTTTGTTTTCTTATACAATATTGTTTGCCTTCGTTTTCTTATACAATATTGTTTATATCATACAGATCCAAACTCATATATATATATATATATATATTTAATTTCCCATAAGTATATTTTTTTCAGAGAGCAGTATCCCCAACAGGGTCCTCACACTGTGATCCATTCAGAGTCTCAGCTGGCCTGTATCATGGGTATGTGAACCTGGTGTGCTCAGGGAAATCCCAAGACGCAAACCCAAGACCTTTCCCATGTGATCTAGTTGTCTTATTAGTGTACCACTGCCTGGACCCCTGCTCCCACATATAAAAGCTTGTCCTATAAGTGAGGCTAGCCAAAACAGCAAAAAATTAAACCAAATAAAATTATTCAATTTAGTGGGCTTAAGTTCAGAGTGAAATTGGGACGGGGGTGGATGAATTTGGTTGTTTGAACTCCCTTACATTTATATTTGGCTTTAAACATTAATGAAAGTTATAACTTCCTTAAAAGTGTATGAGTCCATGGAAGTGTATGAGTGCATGTAATTGTGCTCAGACTTACAATAAAAATTTTATTGGGGCCAACAGATGGCATAGCAGTTACGTTGCTGGACTTCCACTTGGTCGACCACAGTTCAAGTCCTGGACTCAGTGGCTTGAATCTCATGCCAGGTGCATGTGTGCTTAATATCCCAGGAGGAGAAAGAAGAAGGGATTGCGGCATCGCCATCCCCCCAGAGGGTGATTTCTCACTTTCCCTCTCACTGTCTCTGTCTCTTTCTCTCTCTGTCAAGTGTATGCACCCTAAAGCAAAAACCTCTAAAAAAAAGTTGCAATTTATTTATTTGGAATGGGTAACATGGTCATATGGTTCAAAATAAAAAGGCACAAAATTTTTTAACAGCAAAATTTTCCCACTAGTTACCCAATTTGCTGCCCTAGAGGCAAGCAATTTTATCAGTTTTTCAGGCATCTTTCTACATATACTTAAGGAAACAAATATGCATCTATAGCTTTTCAAATTCAAAAAGTACAAAATTTATATGTGGAAAGATTATATAGTGTACAAAATATGCAAATTAAGTGTATATAGTACTCTTACTATGTACCCAGTACACAAATTAAGAGTTCATAGCATGTTCTATATATAATTAATATAATGTACAATGTGTAGTATACTGTATTCTTTGTTCTATATCTTTTTCTTTTCTTTTCTTTTCTTTTAAATTACCAGGGGGGATGTGTTCTAGTCAGAGAGTGACAGAGAGGGGGAAGCTTATGACCCATTTTCAGGCTAATTTTTCTATAGTACAGACCACTCCATATCACAAAATTCCAGCAAGAACCAAGACTCATTCTCTATTTTCATCCCAAAAAGTGAGATATTTTGATGCACATTTTTATTCTTTGATTGTCCAAGAGTTGGCATGAAGCATTGCTGCAAAGATACTATATACTAAGGCTAGCCTGTGGTGAGGTAGTTAAGATGACTGGATCCCACATGGCTGACTTGACAGTTCAAGTCCAGGACACAGTGTCTTGAAAAACATGGCAGGTTTGTGTGTGTGTGCATGCTCAAAATCCCAAAAGGAAGGAGAAATGGAGGAGAAGGGATTGTAGCATTTCCATTTCCCATGGGGAGGATGTGCTTTCTCACCTTCTCTGTTTCTCTTTCTGTGTCCAGCAAGCATATGCACCATCTGGGATATTAAAAAAACAAAACAAAACAAAACAAAAAACTATTCTTTTGTAAATATCTAGAATCTGACATATAAGCAAGGACTCCAAAAAGTCTGTGGAAATATTAAAGTACAAGTTTATTCTGATGCAATAATTTTTGAAACTTACAGATTTTTATTCATAATATGCACTTTCAATGAACTTTTTGAAGACTCCTTGAATTCTTAAAAATAGCCATCATCATCCTTTGAGAGTATCTTATTCAGAGAAACAGTCAAAATTCTCTTTAAACTGAATTTGACGACAAAGTAATCACACTGGAAGACATATTAAGAGGTCTATATTTCTTCTAATGGTAAGAGTTGTTATATTTGTTTTAAAACTATAGATCTTTTTATATTCCCACAGGGTACTAGACCCTAATCCTCGACTTGCTTAGTTCTAGGTTTCTCACTTCCTTGTGAAAATCTGATTATTGAAATATATTTTTATATGCACTTGCCTACACATCCATGTTTACAGATCTGAGAAGAGTACTTTCTTAAAGGAAAGCCCCTTTGTTTCCCTGTGGTTCTCTTAAGTTCCACTTTTTCTCTCCCACCCTCTCTCCCTCAGATCTTCAATTTAAATGATAGAATCTTCATTATTCTTTGGTATTGTCTGAAAAGAAACTACTGAGTGAGAGACAGTATATCTTTTCAATAGGGTTCTGACAGTGTTGCAATGATAACACAACTGGACTCACATGGAAAGTTTCAGGTTCTCATCTTGAAGCCTATTTTCACACACCCAGGGCATAATGTGTTCTATATGTAATATGTGCCCTTGATCCAGGCTGGCTGAGGCTGAGGATGGATCATAGTGTGAAGAGTCTGTTGGGCACCTGTCTCTCTCTCTCTGTTTCTCTCTGTCTCATGAAAGAGGAAAATGAATAAACTTTGAAAAATATTTTTGCAATCAATTATTTTTAAGAAATAAAATTATTTTAATTTGTTCATCATGCAGGATTGAAAAGAATACTGTTAAACACAGAAGTTACCAAAAAAAAAAAAAAAAAAAGAATGAGCATGGGGGTTGTAGATATTTCAAGTAACTTTCTTCACAGGTATGTTAAACCGGGAGTGTTTATGTGAAACAATAGACGGCAATAAAAGAGACATGCTTGTATACTATGGAAGAAAATAAATAATACTTTATTAAATTAAGGCCAGTACAAATAGAATAAAATATAAAATTAGAGATTGTCTCTGCCTATGTCATTTATAGTAAAACACAAAAGGGATAAAGTGCCTTAAAAATCCAACACAACAAGAACGAATGCTTAAAGTGCCTTAATAAATTCAACACCACGAGGTGTTAAGACGTAGAGGTGTAGTGAATAGACTCAATGTCTTGGTTAACCAGAAGCCTTCCTGTACTTCACACAAAGGACATTGTCACACAAATTACTGTACAAGTGAACAAACAATCAGGTAACAAAAAAAAAGGAATTCTGTTGGAGATTCTGTTTCTTTAGCCTGATGTGTTCAGCAAAGTAAAGAAGATTTTCCTTGTCACTGATCCCAGCAAATGACCAAGAAGAAAAACTCGGACCTCCTGAGAGGACTTCAGAATGTCAAAGTCTCTGGAAAGTGACGTCTTTAAAGGCTTGTGTAGTGAAGATAGCTGGTGGCATTCAAGGGTCAAGCCCAGCAAATAGGCCTTTTCTGCCACAAATGAGGGATTAAGGCAATAAGCATTCAAGATACACCACTGGAATTTCCAGAAAGAACATGTAATTCTTCAAGTACAGCATCAAAGAGAGGTTTATACTTAAGAGAAAACAGATAGAAAGTGCCAGACATGACTCTTCACACAGTTAATAATAAGGTTGCCCTTTAGAACTAGACTGGCTCTGTGTACACCAGAGAACATTAAGAAATGTTTAAGTATACCCAACTCTCTCTGAACACATCAAACAGCCACCTAGAGTGTCCCCACACACTGGCAACATTTCTAGACTTTCCTTTGCACACCATCATTCTCCTCCAACACATTATGCTATGACACAGCACTAAGTTATAATAATAATTTTTTTATCAATTTCCTCATTATACTATGAATTCCCTAAGAGAAATTACTTTTTCTTGCTAACATCTATAGACTCAATACTTAGCAAAGTGATCACTATGTGAAGAACTTAATAGATTTTGAAAGACTAAGTCCCTTAAAGTAAAACAGTACAGCTGTAAATTGTATTCTCCATCTGAGCTCTGCTATGTATTTAATAGCTTAAGCAAGTTTAATTTCTCTGCTTCCTTAGATGCTAAAATGGGTATAAAAATAATGGTTACCAGTACAGGATGGTTAAAGGGATGAAAGTAGATTATGTGAGTAGGGTACCATATACTTACTGGGTCATAGGAAAAGTCAAGACATATTCCATTTTTCTATGCAAAAGTGTGTCCTGACTTTTCTGATGACCCAATAGTTATAAAGGTGATATTTAAATGAAACAGATGTTGCAAAAGAGACTTGAGGTCTGAGAATAAGATCATTCCTATCAACAGAAGTACCAACAGGTTAAATAGGATAAGATCCTATAAAAATCAATGGTTTGTTTTCTATGCTTCCTATTTTTACCAGTAGTTATGAAGGGTACCAAGCACCTCACAAACACTATAGTTTTTTTTCCCCCACCTAACTTGTTTGAATGTTTCCTCACAAATGGTGAAAAATACTAATGTACAGATAAGGAACAGTCATAATGTACCCAACATTATAAATATAGAATAATAAATTTAAAACGTTTTTCTGGTTTAAAAAATAAAATCTGGTAGTCAATGCAACCCATCATGTCTCTGCATTCCTGGTGGTGGTGTCCTGTATCCATTTTTCTAGATCCTCCACGTCTGGCTTGTCTTCCTTTCATCTGCTCAATCAAAGGTCTAGGGAGTCCCCCAAGGTCACCCCAATTTCCTCTATCAAAGCCACCTTGGACCATGCTCCAGCCAGCACAGTAGCCATCTCTGTCACCACCATGACCACCTCTGAACATTCCACTGGGACTACTGTGTCCATGAGGTTTCCTCTGCCTCCCCTATGCCATTAGGACTGCCTTTGCCATGATAATTACCTAGGGGTAGAAGGTGGCAGGAGAAAGCCTTCAGCCTTCTGGGCCTTAATACTGGTTGCATTCTGTTCTCCAAGAATAGTTCCAGTTTTCACCACCTGGGTTGGGACACTGCTAGTTTCAGCTTGGTGCTGGATATTTCTTCTCTTAGAAACCTTGGGGTCCTCTTAGAGGAAAACCCCCTCTGTCTCCTCTATGGCCTCACATGACCCCTTGGGCAACCTGGACTTCCATGAAGTGGTGGTGCCCCCAAAGGGTGGCATTCTACTCCATGTGCTATTCATTAAAGGTTTCTTCTGAGACAGAGAGACTTTAAGTTTGGTCCTTTGAAAATCTCTCCCATCAAACCACTCCACAGCATCCTTGGCAACGAGTGGCGTCTTCAGTGGACTTCATCACATACTTCATTACCCACACATTTGTGCTTTCCTGTTTCCTTGTCCAAGTAAATATGGATCATGGGTTACCCAGTTTTCCTGCTCATTATAACCACTCCATACTGCTTAAAGAAGTCTGGCAAATCATCTAGAGTCACATTGTTATTTAATCCTTGCACATAAATTGCACAATCATTAGAGTCTTCATCCAGATCTATAGGCAAGCCTAGACCAAGATCTGATCGTTCATCCATGGGTACACTAGGCTTATTGAAGCCACCTTGCTCTCCAGCACTGCCCATTCCACCGTATCCTCCTCCCTACCCATCTCTGCTCATGTCTCCACAATCAATCCCCCTCTGCTCTTGCCCAAGTTTTCAGGGCTTCTCTTGTTCTGGTTCTCTGCTGGTCCAAAAAAATCTTCCAGACTACAGTCCATAAACACCCATGCTACTAGGGTGGTCCTGTTGGAATGAACTCTGCTGCCTGAAGTTGTTGTTCTGTTGGCTATATTGACTGTAGGAAATAGTTTGGGAGTGAGTAACCAGTGAAAGGCTACTGCCCATAGCTGCTTTGTTGAGTATTGCTACTCTGCTGTTCACAGCTGCTCAGTTGCCCATAGGAGTTCTGCTGCGAGTAATTACTAGTCGGCTGTGTAGAGGAATAGCTGGTAGGAAGATAGGATAGAGGTGTGGTGGTGAGTGGCTGCACGGGGTAGTTCTCAGGTATCTGGAGATAACTAGTTGTTTTGTCCATATCCTAGGTTGGGCTGATTGAAAACTCCTGTGCTAGATTGACATTTACCAGTCTCAGGAGGCTTGTTATCATCTTTTAGTCTTGCAGGTATGGTGGCTGCAGGATACTGTCCACAGGCCCTAAGCAGGCTGAGTGCCATTTGCTGACTGAGCTAAGGAGGCCTGGGTAGTGGTGGTATCATAAGTGCCAGTGCTATATTCCCGGACAGGCTGGCTATCACCTGCGGGGCAGCTGTAATAGTATAACCAGTAGGAGGCTGTCCATAAGAAGTTGCAAAAGTGGTCTGCCATAGGTTGCAGAGATCTGAGCCTAGGTATAGCTGACATCAGTGGGCTGTCCATAGGTTCCACAGCTTTGTTGCCCATATGTCTGGGTGGACTGTGCACGTCCTTGAGTAAACTGGGTGCTTTAAGCACTGTAGCCCTGCTGGCTGCAACTTGGCTGTTGTTACTATGACCTGTGGATGCCATTTTATCTCCTTCCTCTCTGAGCTCTCAACATCTGTTTCCCTCTCACTTTCTCTCTAGGTACCGCACTGCCACAAATTCTAAAGGTTTTAAGATGTGAACAAGTCTTTGAAGGCAAGTCTAATTTGGTAACAAAGTTTTAACATCTATTGCAATGTATCTTTAAAAGCAATTATTCACAACCACACTCACATGACAAGATCTCTTAGACTCTATAAATAAATAAAAACAACTCATACTTAAATATTTAACACTTGCACTCTCAGACACACAGAAGACAACTGGAAATACTGAGTGGAGGAAAAAGGCACTTCTCAAGAACTGACCATTAGATCAGGGATTCTCAACCCGCTTTTCTAGGATGAGCGACGGATGATTTGCTTGGAGGCTCAGAAGTATTCTTTCTCCCTTTCACATGCATTGACAAGTCTCTTGGTCATTTTGATGTACCAAGGTTTCCTTGTGGGTTCCCTTTCCTATCCATCTTTCTTTGTGCTCCTCTTTTTCCTTTCCCAGGTTCTGTTTTCAGACTTTTAAAATCCTATATTATCTGCATCCTATGGGCCCATTCATTCTGGTGATGCTTAGCCCTGATGAACTCCCAAACCACAGGCTGAGAATCCCTACTTGAAGATCAGAAATTTCAATGCTAGATTATGTCTCCTCGGACTGCATATCTGAAAAGTAATAACAGTATATTAATTTCACAGAGGAGACATTTGGAAAAAAGTAACAAAAACTAATAGGAAACAATTCATATTCACTAGATAATACAATAAATGTATAGTAAGACAAAGAGGCAGATTATGTTTGTGCCCAAATACTCTTATAATAGAAAGGATGATGAACCACCCTGGTTTGTCCAGGACTGTCCTGGCTTTAAGTGGAAAGTTTGAAATCCTAAGAAACTTCTCATCCTGAGTGAATTGGGAGAGCTGGCTCCCTATGATGACTCGAACAACATTTACTCATTAGCTTTATAACACAAATGAATGCTGTGGCCCACCTCATGAAATCTGTTTAAGCCTGTCCAAGTTGACTAGACTACTTTAAACTTGGGCTCATTGTTAAGTCTGGTTTCTAATGACATTAAGAATTAGAAATCTTGGGACCAACAGATGGCATAATGGTTACATTGCTGGACTCCCATGTAGTTGACCACACTTCAAGTTCTAGACCTGGCGGATTAAAACTCAAGCCAGGTACATGTGCGCCCAATATCCCCAAAAGAGGATGGAGGAGAAGGGATTGTGGTGTGGACATTCCCCATGGGGGATTTTTCACTCTCTGTCTCCGTCTCTCTGGCGAGCACACATGCCCTATAGCAACAATCTCTCTAAAAAAAGAATTAGAAATCTTAATATAACTTTTTTCTTAGGTCAGTCACCTGGGGGAGGTTTTTCTGTGCTTAACAGATGTAGATATTTGTAGCAAAATGGATTTAAGCAGATAGCTTAAAAGGTAAGTTCCATGATCATGAAATTCTTACCATTTTGTTTCTTTGAGTTTGTATTTTGGATGCCACAGTTCTCCACATCCATCATTCTCACTTGAGAAAGAGAAAATTTTTAGATTTTCATATAGCACAACTACATATCCCACACGGTATCTTGAATTTAAATTATAGCTTCCTATAAAACATGCTTAATCCCTTGCAAAGTATGGTGGACTTCTTTCTTCCACTGGTCCCAACACTGAAGATTTATTAATTTAATAGTTTAGGAAACATTCTTTTGCTCCTAAAATTTTCTTTAGCAGTATTTACTAAGTAGATCATACTTTGGGGGTACTCTACTGGTTTTCTTTTGTTTTCTGAGAGATTTTCACTATAAGGTATGTGCACTTACCAGAGAGACACAGAGAGACAGGGAGACAGAAAATGAGAAATCACCCTCCAGGGGAACAGCCACGCCACAATCCCTTCTCCTTCATTCTCTTCTTGGGATCTTGGGCACCCACGCACACGCGCATGGTGTGAGTTTTAAGGTGCTGATTCTGGGACTCAAACTGTGTTTGACTCATGTGGGAGTCTAGTGATGTGTCCATTATTGTCATCTGCTAGTCCTGGTTTTCTAGCCATTTCTCATTAATGCCAGCTAGTCTTTTTTTCCCCTCAGGGAAATATGCAAATACAAGTTTGCAACAATCATTCCTTATGCAAATCAATTCCATCTCAGAATATCACTGTCATTGAAACTTGATCCTTATATTCTGGCTAACTATCTCAGTTCTAAATATTCAGAAACTATTCTTTGAAAACAACTGACCTCTACTCCCTTTTTATACTACTTTCCCAGATCCACCCACGCTCATCAGGGCTGGCGGGGAATTTCTTAACAACTATTGGAATTCCCTTCCATATTCTACTTCCCTATTTGACATCAGACAACTTTATATGCACACAATCATTGGATCTCTCGGTGTACTTCTCAAAGTATTGGGGGAAATATTTAGTCTGAGTCATCCTAAAACAGGAGGAAATTATTTAAATATACTATACTAACTTTCCTGTTCCCATAGGAAAGTAGAGAAATAACACATGAAAATTACTTCTAAAACTACATAAAACCCTCTACAAGAAATCTTGCAAAATCTTCTGGAGTGAAAATATCACATCTCCACAGAAAGAACTACTTTTATTATTTAGGATGCCCAGAAAGCAGCTCAATATAACTGTGTAGCTAATGCAAAATACAAATTCACCTGAAATCAGCAGGTATTTTAGCTTTTCTCTTTTGTAAATCTGTGGATATTTTACATGATGGGAAGAAATCCTATAACATTAAGTCTTCTTTAATTTCTATATATACCCATTCTCTCACCCCTCATCCCTGTATACCTGATCTTCATCCGGCAACCCTATTCAGCTTCACTATAACTGTGATTGAACACTGAAAATGTCTTTGTGCCATTTTGCAAAGGTAAGTCAGATTTCCCTGCAGTCATGGTCCAACTCCCACTCCCTCAGAAATGTTATTACCAGTGTTTATTGCCATGCACCAATGGAAGAAATGCTGCAGAACAGCAAAATGAGCAGGACTGAAGGAAGAGGGGTACACATGTTCATACCATGGTATGGGTAAAACCAGCTTTGCATAATTGAAAGTGGACCCCAGGAGGGAGGGCTAATAGGAAGGCAGCGTAGTACATAGTCAGTGTTTCCCAGTGGGCAGAACATTCTGTTACACGCACTGTCCTGCACATGATTAGCATCCATGGTTCTGCCTACTAACTGCCATTGTGACAATAACTCCTTTACATACTTCCCCACATCCCCAGCAGAGATGATAACAATAAATACCATTTTTTCTAAGACAGAAGACATTTGCCAGTGTTACACTAATGACCAATAGGACAGCTCCCAAAAATGCCAAGTGAATCCTCTTATGGGTAAATACTTCGGATGGTCCTGAAAAATAAGACAAAAGAAACTGACTAAAGTTAACTTTTTGATGGGAAGGGGTCAGGAGAATAATTATCTTTGCAGGTTAATCCACTCCAGATTGTCTTTTCTTTTTGATTGACTTTTCAGTCTTTTGTTCATTTTCTCTCAAGTGCCTGTAGTTTTCTGTCAATATCTGGTAGAGTATGGGACAGTAGGAAGTGCTTCTTCTCAAAATACTTCTGAGTTTATGATAATATCATGCTCACCCATCTCTCTCTCTCTCTCTCTTTTTTTTTTTTTTTGGAGAGGTTTTTGCTATAGGGTGCGTGCTCTCACCAGAAAGCCAGAGAGAGACAGAGAGATAGAAAGTGAGAAATCACCTTCCAGAGGGGATGGCCATACCGCAATCCCTTCTCCTCCATTCTCCTCTCAGGATCTTGGGCACTCACACACACGTGCCTGGCGTGAGTTTAAGCCACTGGGTCTGGGACTTGAACTGCAGTCAGTTACATAGGAGTTCAGTGACATAACCATTATGCTAACTGCTGGTCCCATGCTCACCCATCTCTTGTCCCCTACTGCTCTAAGCACCTTACCAAACTCTGTCTTCTGCTCCACCTACTTTTAGAGGGTAATAAGACAAAAAAATAGTTGAATCTTTGCAGGTAAAAAAATCTTAAATCACTGTCATATACTATTGCTCCTTTTATCCATCCAATAACCTTACCTGATAGGTTATAACCCTTCAGAGAAAGTGAAGCACAGGAAAGTCTACAATCTAGACCAGCCCACATAACCTCAGGACCTATACACTGAGCAGACTGTCTTTCTTTCTATATTTCCTTCTTTTTATTTATTTATATTTTAAGATTTGCTAGCGGGTGCATGCACTTGCCAGAAATGGATAGAAGTTGAGAAAAGAAAATAAATTGAAGAAGAAATAGAAAGAAGAAAACTGAGAAAGTCTCTGTACCCTGGATAAGGTTCACACTACAATTCCTTCTTCTCTTACAATTCCTTCTCCTCTGTTTCTCCCTCCTTTCAGGATTCTGGGTATGCATACACACATGCAGGGAGTGTTTTTCAAGCTGTTGGGTCCAGGATTCAGCAGTCGGCCATGTGGGATATAGATACCTTACTTACCATGCCGTGAGCTGCTCCCCCTTTAACATTTTATTTAATTGGAAGAGGATGTGTACATTTGCCAGAGAGAAACAGAGAGACAAGAGAAGGGGTAAGAAAGCATTCCCCAATGGGGTGCTATCATGCCCTAATCCCTTCCTTCTCCTTCACTTCTGTTTCTTTTCAGGATTTGGGCATGCATGCACACACATCTGGTGTGATTTTCAAGCTGTTGGACCAGGATTTGAACCATGGTTGGTCATGTGGGGGTCTCATTCCCCTAACCACAAGGGTAAATATTATAGATTATCTCTGAGGAGGCTCCTGAGAGAAAGTATTTCTCACATTTGGAATAAGGTAGAAAAGTACATTGAATTTTCTCCCTGTTATATAAACCCAAGGAAGAATGTGCTCTGAAACACTAGGATTTGGATTCCTGAATCATGGCCTGAGTTAAGTATTCTTCTCAGATATTCTTCAGTCTCCTCACCTACAAGTGCATTTCCTACATAGAAATCAACTGCCTATTTTCTTATCTGTTCCCTAGAGAGTGTGAACTGTGTCTTTTCATCTAAGAGCACATAGTTCCTAATGCAACGTCTGGTGCGTAGGGCCTATTCAATAAATATTTGCTGATGTTATGCTGAGTAGCAATATGACTTCAATAAATAGGGTTGAAGAAACAGGATGCATTTTGTAAACATAATGTTATGCATTCAATTAATATTTTTTTCTTTTTTTGGAGAGGTTTTTGCTATAGGGCGCGTGCAGTCGCCAGACAGACAGAGAGAGACAGAGAGACAGAAAGCGAGAAATCACCCCCCATGGGGGATGGCCACGCCACAATCCCTTCTCCTCCATTCTCCTCTCGGGATATTGGGCACGCATGCACACACGCCCAATGTGAGTTTAAGCCACCGGGTCTGGGACTCAAACCGCGGTCGACTACGTTAGCGACATAGCCATTACGCTAACTGCTGGTCTCTGCATTCAATTATTTAACAAACACTGAATGACTATGATCATCAGGCATAACCAGAGTTATTATGGGATGACATTGAGCACCTTTTAATGGACACATTCAAAATATTACCTGGAATGATCAATTCAGCTGTGCTGTTTGTCTCAAGATCTGATCCATGAAAAGTGCAGTAGAAAATCTCACCAGCTGTTGTGTTGATTCTCAATGTGCTGGTAACATTGAAAAATAACTCCTCCCTCTCAGAATTGGTAGTGGTTGTCTTGCTACTCAGGATCTGGTGGTCACTGTTTGTCCAGATGACTTCAGCCTTGGGGTAACCCTCAGCTTCACATGTTAGTTCATATTCAGAGGTGATAGAGTCCATGGAAATTCTTTTGTTAATTTTGTGGTACGGAGCTATAATACATGATGAGCAAAAAGAAGTCAGAGCTCTTGCATAGCACAGATATAGATGTGTGGCTTGGTGCTGGTTACATTAAAAGAGTATTAACACAGGCTGGTTCTTGGAGAAGTAAGCCTAATGTTCAGATGTCTCAGCAATGGAGAGCACCTGCTAGTTCTGCCTCAACTCTTCTGTTCAAACTTGGGCCAAGTTTGGGCATAAAGGAACAGCTATTTTGCTTATTGGGAACAAACTAAATGTACAGACTAATTAAAAGAGAATTGTCATCTTTAAACAAGCAGTTTCCTATCCAAAATTTTAATTAAACTAAGCATATTACAAAATGAACAACCAATTAAAAAGTTTTCCACAAAGAAACTGGGGTTTGGAGATGATACTAATAATTCAAGCACAAGTCAAAATGGCAGAAGTTTTTTTTTTTTAATCAACTGCTTTATAAAACAATAACTTGGACTAGTCTCATAGCATGTAGTTGAGTGCTATACAGAGGGAGCTGGATCCCATATAATTTGAATCCCACCTCAGTGGCTTGAAAAACATACCAGGCACGTACACATATGCCCAGGAACCTGATAGAATGGAAAGATGAGGAGATAGGATTTTGGCATAACTGGACCCTGTTGGGGTAGGAAGTGCTTTCTCTCTCTCTCTTCCTCTCATAAACCCTCAGGCAAAAAAACAAAAACAAAACATTAAGTACTTCATTAGGTCTGACAAAGTGTTTGCTAAAAAAACCCTCAAGATTATTGAGATCAGCCACTTTTGTTAATGAATTTCACCTAACATATTAACTAATGATAGTGGAGCATTACAAATTAGCAAGACATTGCTTATTAAATTTTTACTTCAACCTTTTAGAATGTCTATTTTTTCACTTTTAGAATGAGAAGTTTGAACCCTCTGAAATCAGTGATATTCAACCTCTTGAGTCCTTCAAAAGTGGGGCAAAAAAAAAAAAAGTGTATGAGATAACCTATAAATTAGCATGAGATACCTGATGGGGTGGGTAATTAAAACTTTTGGAAACTGGATTAGGGTTAGGATTAGGTTTAGCTGCCTAATCCCATTTAGGTCCTGAAAACATAAGTGGACATTTCCTTTTCCCTGCTATGAGATTTGGTGATTAAGAAAAAAAACTAAAAAAAATAAATAAATAAATAAATAAAAATTGCCAGAGGGCAAATGTACTCACCAGAGGGAAACAGAGAAAAAGGGAGAGGGAGAAAGCACCAATGGACTGCATGCTCACACTGCAGTCCCTTCTCTTCCATTTCTGTATCCTGCTGGGATTTTGGGCTCTGTGCCAGGTGTTTTTCAAGCTGCCAGGCCAGGATTCAAACCATGGTCAGCCATGTGGGGTCTGGTTCCCTTTACTACCAGGCTATGGGGCAGGCCCAGGAAAAATATTTTCAATTGGAAGTAAGATGCTTGAGGATCTGGTATTTAAACTAACAACTGTCAAAAGTACAATAATACCCAAGTGATAATGAAAATTAAGTTGATCCAAAACTAAGTATTTTGAGTTTCAGTTTTGATATGCTTCATCTTTAAAATCCCATGGTGAGTAAACTCCCTATGGGGAAGCTGTTTTACCACACATTTTGCAGTGATGGGAAGAGAAGACTAACAGCATGACTGTGAAATCATTTGCATATGGAGTGACTCAGGAGTTCTACTTCTTTGAGTTGAAAAGCAAGCCAGCCACTGAGTTTCCATTTGTGCAATTGAAGCTTAGTGGCTGACTTGTTCTTAGTGCAGTAAATGGAGACCCTTGGTATATAGATCAACACCCAAAAATCACTGCATGCAAATAACAAGATGTAACAGGAGCTAGGATGTCAATTTACTAGTTTATAATAAAAAATGGAATGATCAAACAAGTCAGATGCTCAACCTTAGTTCCTTCATCAAGTAGCCCTGTATGGAAACACCAGCATCAGAAGGTATCCTATTGTGTCCAATGAACCATGGAAAAGGAAATTGCAGATCCACAAGGGACAATAAGGAGCCTTGATGAAGAAAATCTACCTCACTACTAGGACAGATGTCCCCTTTCTACATACTCCTTATATGCTGAGAGACTTTCTCTGGAAGCAGAAACTTATACTCTATGCTTTCTTCTAACTGACTGATAAGCCTATGCTCTTCCTCCCCATCCCAGACCTGGCAATGCTGGTTGCCCATGGGGCTAAGGCATGATCATTTCTGTAATGCCTTGGAACACAGTAGATGCCTGATATTTGCTGATGAACTGAAGACAAACTGAACATATAAATCACCACATCTCAAGCTTTCTTTCCTGAGTATCACTGTTCTGGAGAAGCATATGGCAAAATACACTGAAAATTAAATCTGCTCCGTAAGATAAATGACACTTCTTGGACAACAGAAGCATTAACTGAGGCAGAATCAGACACCTAGTACTATATCACAAAAGTGATGCTTTTCTCCAAATTCCTATATACTTTCATTTTTGAGTTTATAAATCAGTGATTCCTTATAAATGTGAAATTTTTCTATTTATGTTATTAACTTTCAGTAGGATGGAAATATCAAAGCAAATAATAAATAATATTGATGGAAAAAATTCTAGCCAAATATTAAAAGGCCATGATGTAAACCAAAGAAGCAGGCCACTAATTTCAAAACTATAACAAAGAGGGCAGATTTTAGCTCAGTATTAGGAAGTAAGTTCAAAAGGTTATGACGGGAAGTTCAAATGACAGGGATTGCCACTATGGAAGTATATAAGCAGAACATCTTTTGGGGAATTTCTCTTCTTTATTGGAATTTGGGTTAGCTTTCTTGTGCCTTGAATCCTTGCAGCTTCGATTCTATGAAACTCAAGTGAAAGCAGAGATAGTCAGTGAAGGTGTTTTTCTTTACTTAGCTAACCCAAAACTTTGAACTCAAGTGACCTGGTGAAGTAATTTTGGGGTCAGTACCTAGGAACCAACATTCATAGTTCCTCTTCAATGCTTGAAGATAACATTGGTATAGAGTTTCAAGATGGCTGTAGGCACAATGAGCATATCCTACACTGTCTCTCAGGAAGAATGATTTCCTTTAGACTTAGAACTATTTTTGCCTTTCATAGATTGAGTTCAAGTCTTTTAAAATATGAATCTACAATGAGGTTCATTTTTAATATACTTATTTGGGTAATTTAAAGAGGTTCAAAGGAGGGAAGATGCAACAGACCTAGTACAATAAAAAAATAGTAGTTGAATAAAATTTTCTGGAGGGACACACAACAGTGCTTACTATCTCTGCATGCCATGGAAAATGGTGATGAAGAGACAAGGAACACTTTTGTAATTTATCCTATTCACCTGTATAATATCTGAACTATTTGTAAGTACATGTATTATTTTTATAATAATACAAAAATAAAAACCAGGAATCCATTGTTTGGAAAACTGAATATACTATAGAACATGACTCTGTGTTGCTTGGTCTTATATCTCCAGTGATTGTTGAATAGGAAATGCTCAAGAAATGCTCACTGGAACAGTGTGTGAATGAATGAATGAATGGACTGCTGTTTTGTGGGAAAATAAGTCTAGACTTCCAAGAATGAAAATTTTCAATACTTAGGATATATTTTTGGTAAAGGTCAGACCTCTTTATCTATAATAATTCTTACCAGTCACTTTCAAAGTAATCCGTTTGTAGTCCGCACCACCATAGCTGATCATGCAGCAGTAAACACCTGCATCCTGCAATTTCACATCTGTGATCTGAAGTGCCGCATTTCCCTTGGGAAGCTGATCCTTTAATAGCCGGGTCCTCCGACTGTAGCTACTGTGCTGAACCTTCAGGTCTTCCTTCCCATTCACAAGCTGAATAATGTTCTTACCCTGCATTTCCCAGTAGACAACTAATGAATGCAGGTCTAACTGTTTTTCTACTGGGAATTCACATTCAAGTGTTACATTGCTGCCATACTCTACCACATACAGGTCCTTAGGAACTGTGATAGTAAATGCTGAAAAGAAAGAGGACCAGTCTTCAGAGGATGCACAAATTTTAAATGTTTACAAAATGGGGTCAGGGTTTACAATCACTTTATTTGGTCTGTTATGTGATAATTATTCAAGGACTTTCCTAAAATACGTATTTTATCTAGTGAGCTTGAAACATGTCTTGGGATGCTATATTATATCCTTGAGTTAGAATAATAAAATTAGCTAAACATGTTTTAACACAATTCATAGACATATATTACTGTAGAAATATTACATAGTGATGGAGTACTTAAACCTAGGGAGGCTTGGTTACCTGTAACATCTCCAGAATGGACACCTTTGCCACCTACATAGTCTTAATAGTAGATTCGAATAGTCTTCTTTCCTTACTGCCATAAATTTTAAGTTCTTTTTCCAGAGGTACATGGTTATGGAGATTTAAGGAACTCAGGATGATGCCAATCTTATGTCACCCTGAAATATTCCATGTACATTCTTCCCTCAGATATTCTCATCAGGAAAAAGCAGATCTCAGGTGACAGTGCAACACTGACAGAATGATTCTAGCCTTCTTTGAAACAAATAAATCAAAGGATACATTTCAGTCATTCCCCCAGATATTTTTTATAGTTCTCTCTGCAAAATGGGTATCTGGTTAATTTTGGTTCTTTCTGCCTATATTCTCTTTATGCAATAACATTATTTATGTAATGAAGGAAAAACAGAATGTTCTTTGTATCCAAAAATTACATCCATTTAACATTATTATTTTAGTTTTTAAACTCATGGGTAAAATATTTAAAATATAGAGCCTAAATGAAAGGATTTGGTGTCTTACCATTCAGCAAATGAGAGTAGGCCATAAATGTAAAGACATTAATTATCCTCATCTTTCTGGAATGACCTAATTATGGAAAACACAAGAAAAAGACTGCTTTACTTAATGATTGAACACAGTATAACAGTATGGGACTTGGCAGTTTTAACTAAAATACTCTTCAGATAATCAGCCAATGACTGATTTGTAAATGTGGAAATGCAGCTGGGAATTTGCAAGTTCAATAACCTTTACTGAATATCTTAGATCTGTATAATGCCTAGTAAAATAAAAGTTATCATAATAAAAATGATAATTTAAAAATTTAGTTATAGGCTCTTAAAAAGCATAAATACTGAAAAGAGCTTAGAAGAAAATGTCTCATCAAAATCCTCTCGACTATTTCATAGATTTTCTGTAATATATCTAGAAATCCAAAACTACCCTATGCAAAATTTCAAAGCAAAAGAATCTGACTTCCACTTCTGCCTTTCAATGCTTTTTCCCTTTATAGTTAAATATTTTCATCCTATCCTTTATCTATTCAAGAATTCCACTTTACTAAAACAATCATGCCAATTCTCCTCAGATTCCATCCTTTGAAATCTATTTTACCTCTTACTTATTTCAAATGATAAATCATATTCCCTCAATAAACTGACTCCACTAGTAGCAGGGGGGAATGGAAGAAAAGAAAATTGGATTTGACCCATTTACAATAAAATATGACTTCCAGACCCTCTTTCAGAGGAATATGCCTACTTTCTATGTTCACCTTGCTATTGTGCTTGAAATTTTATTAATTCTTTTATTTAGCAAACATTAATTGAGCACCTTTTCTGTGCCCGGCACTATTTTAGGTACTGAGAATAAGAAAGTGAGAAGGAAAAAGGTTATTCTCCTTTTGGAGTTTATATTCAAGTAGAGGCACAAAAGAAATTTTGTACTGTATTTCAGCCAATTTATTTAACATTTTCTCTCTCTTGTGTTATACATGTGTATTTGCACACTTTGATTAGAAAGTCAGTTTTCCCTCTTTGCAACCCTACAATCTCTCTCTCTCTATTTATAACTTGCAAATAATCAACTAATTCATTATATATTATACACACATAAACACACACACACACATACACAAACACAGTCATGTACCACTTAACAATAAGGATACATTCTAAGAAAAGCATTATTAGGCAGTTTCATCATTGTGTGAAAGATAGCATGTACTCACAGAAATCTAGATGGTTTAGCCTACTACATACAGCAGCAGGCTGTATGGTATAGCCTATTGCTAATAGGTTAAATACCTGTATAGCATGTTACTGGACTGAATACTGTAGGCCATTATAACACAATGGTAAAAACTTGTGTATTTAAACATAGAAAAGGTACAGTAAAAATGTGGTTTAAAGGATAAAAATTGGGGCTGACCATATCATGTGGTGGATACTACATGGCTTTCTTTCCACAGTTCAAATCCCAGCTGCAGTAGCTTGAAAAACATACTGGGTAAGTGTGTGTGGATGCCCCAAATCCTGACAGGATATTGAAACGGAGGATAAATTACTGAGGCACTGACCATGCCCCATTGGGAGTTTTCCCTCTCTCTTTTTTTCTCTCTCTCTCTTGCATGCATGCATGCACTTGCATGAGTGCATGCACCCTCTGCTAATTCTGAAGAAAGAAAGGAAAAAAAAATACATCTGTCTAGGGTATTTACCATGAATGGAACCTGTAGAACTAGAAGTTGCTCTGTGTGAGTCAGTGAGTAAGTGAACGAATGTGAAGAAAATTACTGTAAACCATGGTAGACTTTTTAAACACTGTACACTTAGGCTAAACTAAATTTATATTAAAAAAAAAAAAAAACCTTTTCTCTGGGTCAGCCTTTGGTGTGGCAGTCACAGCAGCTGGATCCCACATAGCCAATTGTGTGGTTCAAGTCCCAGACCCAGTATTTGAGAAACATACCATGTGCATGGGTGTGTGTGCCCAAAATCCTGAAAGGAGGGTGAGAAAGAGGAGAAAAAATTACAATATGGACCATTCTCAATGGGGGGCGGGTGCTTTCTCACATTCCATCTCTCTCTTTCTTTCTCTCTCTGGTGAGCACATGCACTCTCTGGCATTCAATAATAAATTAACCATAGTTTAGGGGCCAGCAGGTGGCATACTCATTAAGGCCCTGGACTCCCTCTTGGTCAAGGGCAGTTGGAGTCCTAGACTTGTGACTTGAAAATCATGTCATACACATGTGTGTCCGTGCCCAAATTCCTGAGAGGAGAATAGAGAAGGGATTGTGGTGTGGCCATTCCCCTGGGGGATGATTCCTGACTTTCCCTCTCACTGTCTCTCTCTCTCTCTGGCATTGCATACATGCCCTAGGGCAAAATCCTTTAAAAAAAAAAATTAACCTTAGCTTATGGTAACTTTTTTACTTTGTAAACTTTCTAACTTTTTCAAACTTTTGAATCTTTTATAATAGTACTAAACTGAAAACACACATGTACACTATATGAAAATATTTCCTATTGTCCTTATCCTATAAGCTTTTTCTATCAAAAATTTAAAACTCAGAGTCAGCATTATCAATATCACTGTCCTCCACCTCCACACATCTTGTTCCACTGGAAGGGCCATGAGGAACAAAACATGAGATTAAATCAAGCATGAGGAAAAATTAGCAATTAAGTGATGTGTTAAACAAAAGATGTATGAAGCTGCTATTGGCATAACACAGCATATTATTTTAAAAATTATTTATTTATTCTATTTTATTAGGTATTATTATTTTTAATTTGCTATACAGCATGTGCACTTACCAGAGAGATGAGACAGAAAGAGAGAGAGAAAGTAAGAAAGTAAGCCGCCAGGTCCAAGACTCGAACCGCAGTTGACCACCTTAACCACCTTAACCTTAGCGCCTTAACTACCACGCCACTTGTTGGCCCCAGAGCATATTGTTTTACAGTAAGCTTAAAAAAAAAAAAAAGCAGAAGGAATACAAATTAAAATAAAGGGGAACCAGCAGTTAGCGTAATGGCTATGTCGCTGGACTCCCACATAGTCAACCGCGGTTCGTGTCCTGAACCCGGTGGCTTAAAACTCATGCCGGGCGCGTGTGTGTGCGTGCCCAAGATCCCGAGAGGAGAATGGAGGAGAAGGGACTGCGGCAGGACCACGCTTCCTGGGGGGTAATTTCTCGCTTTCTGTCTCTATGTCTTTCTCTGTCTGTCTGGCGAGCGCACGCACCCTATAGCGAAAACCTCTCCAAAATAAATAAATAAATAAAGCAATCAATTCCTGGCCCACTCTGAAAAGTGGATAGTGGTGCATGCCTACAGTCCAGGTACACTAGGGACTAAGGCAGTAGGATCATGAGCTCACAGCCAGGTGAGCAACATAGCAAGACACTTTGTGAAAGACCAAGGTGTGATGGTGCATGCCTGTGGTCCTAGCTACTCAAGAGCTGAGGCAGGAAGATTTCAACACAGCAAGACCCTATCTAAAACACCACACTCACACAACACACATACAATCAACATACCAGAAAAACATAGCGTAGTAAATATATTAATCAGTAACATGGTCACTTATTATCATTATCAAGTATTATATACTGTACATAATTTTATGTGCTATACTTTTCTGTGAATGCTATACTTTCTTTTTTTTTTTGGAGGTTTTCGCTATAGGGTGCGTGCGCTCGCCAGACAGAGAGAGACAGAAAGACAGAAAGCGAGAAATCACCCCCCAGGGGGGATGGCCACACCGCAATCCCTTCTCCTCCATTCTCCTCTCAGGATCTTGGGTACGCACACACATGTGCCCGGCATGAGTTTTAAGCCACCGGGTCCAGGATGCGAACCGCAGTAGACTATGTGGGAGTCCAGCAACACAGTCATTACGCTAACTGCTATACTTTTATACAGCTGATGCACAGTAGGTTTGGACCAGCATGAACACAAACACTTGAGTAATGTGTTGCACTACAATATTTCAATGACTATGATGTCACTAGGTGATAGAAATTTTTCAACTTCATTATAATCTTAAGGGACCACCATTGTATATGTGATTCATCATCAATCACAATGTTGTAATGCAGCACATGTTCATGTAGGTCAGAGAATTAATGCTCCTACTATATAAATAGCTCTTCAAAATCAATAAGCAAACTAACTATACATAACCCCAGAGGAAAATGAACAAAAGGTCATAAAATACAGTTCAGAGAATAAGAAATATAAATGGCATGTAAACAAAAAAGGATGCTCAATATCACTAATAAAAAATAATATATTTATGATATGCAATATCATTTTTTACTTACAGCTTGGCCAAAATTATACAGATTCCTACATTTAGTGTTTGTGAGGATATGGAGAAATGGCTTTCCTATTCATTATCTTATTAGGAATATGAAGTTGTATAAACTTTTTGGAGGCAATTTGGTAATCTCTATTAAAAATTTAAATGTGCTTGTCATATAATTTTCAATCTTTCTACTAGAAATCTGTCCTATAAGAAAAAAAAGAAAACAAACCATATGCATATAACAATATATGTAAAGGGATGACATTGCTAATAGTAACCCCAAACTGAGAATGCCTTAGATAGCTTAAATAAATAAAATTTAGTATAGTCATACATACAATATCATTAATAACATAATTCAGGACATGTACATGTATATGTATTGATTTTGCAAAGATATATAAAAGTTGCAGAACAGGATATGTAGCAGATACATACTTTTCATTAAAAAAATAGAAGTGTTTGTGATTTTAGATATAGGAAATACCCAAGATGCTGACTGATTACCTATAGGAGTGAAATTAGAGGGAGGACAGGAAGGTTTCACCCCTTTATAGTTTTTAAAAGGAAGAAATAAAGAGAAAAAGAGAGATGACATTGTTAGTTACGTACATAGAAAATGTACACATTTTCAAATAAATGAATGTACATGTTTTCAAATAAATGAATATGTACACATTTTCTATGTACACATTTTCAAATAAATGAATATATATATATATTTTTTTTTTTGGAGAGATTTTCACTGTAGGGTGTGTGCGCTCGCCAGACAGACAGAGAGAGACATAGAGACAGAAAGTGAGAAATCACCCCCCAGGGGGGATGGTCACGCCGCAATCCCTTCTCCTCCATTCTCCTCTCGGGATCTTGGGCACGCACACACACGCGCCCGGCGTGAGTTTTAAGCCACTGGGTCCGGGACACGAACCGCGGTCGACTACGTGGGAGTCCAGCGACATAGCCATTACGCTAACTGCTGGTTCCCAAATAAATGAATATTTTTTATCAGGAAAAAATTTAATGAATCATTTCATCTTGCCAAGCTGCAGAGTGTTTAGCAGACCGAGTGTTGTAATGAAAAGAACCCCAGAAATGGAGTCCAAAAATGTGAACTGAGGCAGAATAATTTGTACATTTTTGGTTTCTTCATCAGAAAAGTAATATAACCACATTATAGAAAATGAGAAAAGAAGGGGAAATCACTCACCATTCCCCCACTCTCACCCAGGGATCATTTGGTAACACTTGGAAACATTTTTGTGTTGCCCAAATCAAATTGGAGGGGAGGGCTGCTCTTGGCATCTACGTTTAGAAATCAGGAATGTTTCTAAACACCCTACATTGCACAGTTGTAGATCAGGTATTTAAGCAAAAACAATGTCTGGCCTAAAATGTCAACACTGTCAAGGCTGAGAAATCCTGTGCCCACTGTGAGCATTTCAGTACATGTTTTTTCTTTCTTTTTCTCTGTCCATCTTTTAAAAAATAATTATAAACTTATCATACATTTAATACTCATTTTTTGGGGAGAAGTTTTTTGCTATAGGGTGTGTACGTTCGCCAGAAAGACAGAGTGAGACAGAGAAACAGAAAGTGAGAAATCCCCCCCCGGGGGGGGGATGGCCACGCCGCAATCCCTTCTCTTCCATTCTCCTCTCGAGATCTTGGGCATGGATGCACATGCGCCCGGCGTGAGTTTAAGCCACTAGGTCCAGGACTTGAACCGTGGTCAACTACATGGGAGTCCAGCAACATAGCTATTATGCCAACTGCTAGTCCCAATACTCATTTTTAAAATGTAAAACTATGACATAAATATTTCCATTTTACTGCATAATATTCATAAGCATCTGATTTAATGGCTCCATAATTAATTCCACTATTGTTAGGTATGAGATTATGACCAATCTTAAAAATATCTTACAGATGTATTACAGCAAATATTTGCTGAGTGCCTCCTATGCGGCAGGCCCCAAATTAGATAAGCACTGAGGACAGAGCTTCCTAAAAAGAATTACTGATAAAGGGGGAAGGAACATTTTCCCAGTTCTTCACACATGCTAATAATTGGTACCATTACATTGCATGTTCATCCAGAACTGGTTATTACTTCCATTCTTTTTCCTAGTTTGATCATTGAAAAGTACCACTTGAATTTTTCATGATTTGTTCATTATTTAGTTCTTTTGCAAATTTTGTCTGATTATGTTTGTATTCAGTTGCTGGTTTCTTTTCAACCTACCTGACCCTTCATGTTTGTTTTTTAAAAAGCATTTATCTATTCACTTGTTATTATTTTCAAGCTGCTGGGTCTGGAACTTGAACAGCAATCAACCACGTGGGAATCCAGTACCTTAGCCACCACACTACTTGCTGCCCCATAACCCTTCATGTTTAAAAGACATACACAAAAGGGGCCGATGAAATGAGATAATTCCTGCTAGTTTTGGGTGCACAATTTTACTTTTCTCCTTTCCATCTCCCTACACAGAGGGAATAGAGATGAAATTGAGGCTAGTCAGGACAGAAGTTGTTAGAATGAGGGTTGTAGCATCTATTTGACTGTACTTTCCTTGGCATAGAGTTGACTATAACACAATTATAAAATATTAATATGATATTATAAGCACAAGCATACTTACTGTGCAGAAAAAGTCTTGATATCCCTAATTCTAAGCAAAGCAACATTGGGCAAAACAGATGGACATTAAATTCACTCATGAGTTATGCCTAATTATGCCAGCATTTATAGCATACTGGAGTTCTTAATCTTTAATACTTTTGGTTAAAAACTTTAGAGGTAATAAAGTACTAGAAGGTACAAGAAAGTGATGGATTAGATCTGATATTTACCTAATTTCTCATCATAACCCCTCCTGTAAGGCCCTGTTCCATTAACATGCAATTGTCATTAGTGGGAAAAGTAAATGTGGAGCACAGAGACCAAGTAAATGAACCTCACATCAAAATAGCTGATCTAAGGGAAGAACACTAACATCTTCTATAGGTAAACTATAACCCTATATGAATTCTCAGACAAAACCAGACAAAGAGCACTGAAATGTGAACTGGGGAAGAAGTGATGGCTCATTCAGGATGGGGAAGTGGGTTTGTCCCTGAGAAAGCCCAGTATAGTAGTATGTAACCAATAGTACTTATCTGTAGAGGGTAGGATGGATAGGCGGGAGACAGAGAAATCCTTTCTCAAAAGTAGGGATAAGGATTAACAGAGTTGATCTGTTAAATAGCTATTAAGTTATCAAATTCTACTAAACTCTTCTAAAGTCTATGCCTAACTCCTTCCCTTTAATCACACAAGATACTCTTTTTACATTTTCCAAGTGTGGCTGCAAATCCTCCTATTTCTGTGGCTTCATTGAATATCACACTCTAACTGCTGTCATGTAGCCAGTTTTCATCTAAAGGCCTTTAAAATATTCAGATGTTTTGATTACGAGTTTATCCGAAGAAAATATTAATCAGTATTCCAGAGAATTATACACAATTGTGTTTAGTGAAAGGCTAAGATAGCGTAAATAACCTTTATGTCCAGCAATGAGCAGTTAACTTCATTTGACTACTAAAAAACAGCAATTTAGAAAAAAAAGTTAGGGGGCCAGGAGATTGCATAGTGGTTACATTGCTGGACACCCCTGTGGCCAACAGAGGTTCAAATCCTGGACACAGTGGCTTGAAAATCACACCTGTGCATGCACATGCCCAAGATCCCAGGAGGATAATGAAGAAGAAGGGATTACTGTTTGGCCATCCACCCCCCATCCCCCCGCACTCCCCCCAGGAGATTTCTCACTTTCCCTCTACTATCTTTGTGTTTCTCTCTCCCGCAGAATGCATGCACCCTATGGCAAAAATCTTTTTTTTTAAAAAATGTTAGAAACGCTATTTCTTTCAGAGAAAATTGTCTAGTTTGTTTTTGTTTACAAACAACAAAGTATAATAATGATACTTATTAGAGAAAACCCCAAACTTAATTGTGACATGGGCCAAGGTCAATTAATCTAAGAAAAATTTTAATATTCTTAACTTCTGATAAGAATTTTCCACACTTCAGGACTCCTTCAGCCTCTGAAGTAGATAAAGCAAAGATCTTAAGTTCTAGAGCCCTGGATCTTGGGGCAGGAAGGGACCCTAGAAAATGCTGCAGGTGGGATCACTTAGCTAGAATCAACGCCAGTAAGAGCGTGAGATGCACTAGGACCCAGGGGTCGACCTCCAGCCTAGGAAATTCTCTTTAAACCCAGTCACCAACTTTAGGACCTTATTCGCACACACTCAGCCATGTATAACATTAAGCAAACTGAATTGTGCCTGCCAAAATATTGCCTGTTCTTTTTAATACTCACGAGGAACTGACTCTACTGTCCCCAAACAATCGCGCTTCCCCTTTCCCATCTCACCTCTTAATCCCAAAGAAAGAAGAGACCCATCGGTTTTTAAAGTGTCGAGGGAGCCTGGCAGAGCAGCAAGCCTGGGGGCACCGATCCTTACCTACTAGTGGAGAGACTCACAGCCGGCGCGGAGACTTGGGATGCTGCGCGGGGGACTGGAAGCCAAGGGAAGGCGTGTCACTCTGATAAAGACCTCGCGGGCGCCTGTCGGAGGCCTCGCCCACCTCTGACCCACAGTCCCTCCCCAGGAAATTCCTTGGTGGAAGTTCACGCTGCTGCTCAATTTTTCAGTTATGGAAGGAAGCAGATTAAAACTTCTAAGATAAACGTTTATACTAGGTACACAAAAGCGAAAGTGAATCCTACTATTCTAGTTTTCCCGTAAGTAAGAATGTCATCAAGCAGCATTTCTGGGCCAACCAGAAATGGGTAGGGACAGATGCTGGTTAAAACCTCTGGATCCCACAGTGGCTTGAGAAACACGCCAGAGGGTGTGCTTAAGTAACCCAAATTCTGACGGGAGGGAGAAATGGAGGTGAAGGGACAGCAGTGACTATTCCCCATGAAGGTGCTTTCTCGCCTTCTCTCTCTCTCTCTCTGTCTTGCTCTTCAGGCTCCACCCTCACCCCTACCCCTGGGAGGACAGCGCCCTCTGGCAAGTTTTTAAAAAAATAAAATCTTGGGGACCAGCAGTTAGCATAATGGCTATGTCGCTGGACTCCCATGTAGTCGACCGCGGTTCGCGTCCCGGACCCTGTGGCTTAAAACTCACGCCGGGCGCGTGTGCGTGCGTGCCCAAGATCCCGAAAGGAGAATGGAGGAGAAGGGATTGCGGCGTGGTCATCCCCCCTGGGGGTGATTTTCTCGCTTTCTATCTCTCTGTCTCTGTCTGTCTGGTGAGCAAACGAGCCCCGTAGCAAAAAAAAAAAAAAAAAAAAAAAAAAAAAAAGAGAGAGAGAAAGAAAAAAAAATCTTGGAGGATTATAAATGATTCACATCTGGTATATTTTAAACAAAGGTTTAAAACAAACTAACATCTGAAGTCACCAAGATTTTAGACCTTAATTTTACCTTTGGAATCTGACACCTTAAAAATTCTGCCACCAGATTGTTCCCTTTTCTGATAAAAGCCTTTTCTAGATGACCAAACATCTTGACATAACTTGATATGACTCTACCACATACAAGTGTTAAACAACAGGCCCATCTGGCTTTGGTTTCTATTCTAGGAAGTAGGTGTGTGTATAATAGAAACTGTATTTTTAAACCGTGGATTTTATGATTTCCTCAAAATTCCTCGACATAATGAAACTTCAATTGCTTTGTCATTGAAAGAACTTCCCATCCTGGGTTACCCTTTCAATAAAATGTGGGAGGGAAAAAAAAAAAAAAGGAATGGAAAGCAATTGCAGGTAACTCTGGATCAGTGGATGTGTCTAAGCTGAAACGTTGTGTTCACAGAGGGTGAGTGCTTTACTTAAGCACTGCCCACTGTTGGACTGTTCATGTTTTCACCTCCCACCCTGCTTCTTTTCTCTCTCCCTCCTTTTCTTCCTAATGTTAAATAGATAAATCAAATTCTTCATCATTTGTCTTTCTTGTTGATTTATTTCAGCTACAATTTCAAATCCTGCATAATGAATGAATACTGAGATATTCATTGGCTAGGTTATAGCATTTGCTTCCCAACTAAGAATTTTCATATTCTCAGAGTTTCACAGATTTTTATTTTGGGAAATACTGCTTTAAAGATCTGGTAGGAAGTGTGGTGTTCTCCCTAGCCTCAATAAAACTGTAATAGACTTTGGAGATCCAGCTCAAATGCTTCCTTTTCAATCCTCTTTTGAGGCTACATAGTAGGATAGAATACAATTTTCTCAACTTTAGTGATTGTAGCCTATAATAAGACATAGACTTCATGTGATAACCTGGTTTCTGTGCTATGTATACACACGTATACAAACAACTTTTATGAAATAATACTTAGACCTACTTTGTACAATACCCTGTGACATTTTCTATGTAATTTGTTTCATATTTTCTGAAAATGATGGTCAAGACCCAGGACATAAGACTTCATGATCTTCTTAGTGAGGTTATGACTATCAAGGTCTGAAAAAATTGGCTCTCAAGCCATCTACTACTAATTAGCTGAATAGCTTGGGCAAATAATCTACTGAGAAGCTAGGATTAAGCCATATCTTTTTAGATAGATATCTCCATGATTAAAACATAAAAATGATATGTTCACTTTTAAAACTTGGGTGGGGTGTTTTGTCTTTTGTTTGTTTTATAAAATCAATACTCAATGCACACATGAATGATTAAAGGAGAAGACAGGAGAGAAATAGATGTTACCTTTCTTTGAAAGGCAATTTGCATATTAGTAATTTGAGGATTTGTGTTCTTACTCATTTCTCCCACCTGTTTCTACCCTTCAGTCATTCCTTTTCCATGCAATTACTCTAGCTCCCTAATGACATTTTTGATATCCTCCAGAGACAGAAAAACAGAGTATGTTTAGAAAAAGAGAAATTGTATTTTATCACTTCAAAAATAGAGGTAAATCATAACAGCTGGTAGAGGGGGGCATTAGTCCTGAAACTATGTGAGTTCTGTGGTTTGGGCAAAGTGGATGGAGAAGTGCTGAAATAGGAGAAGAACCAGGGCTGAAGAGTTACATACCTTGATCATCTCCAATATCACCATTATTTGTTCATGCTCCACCCACCCAATTTAGTTTTGCAGGTAAAAGCTCATTGCCAAAGTGCTGCTTTTGAGTGTCTCTGAGGGCTCTTTGCATCATAGTTAACTTGTAGGTATTTAAAATACAGAATCCAAGGCTCTGCCAGACCTGGTGAATCCAAATTTCTGCAGATATAGTTCTAGGAGTGGGCATTTCTTTTTTTAAGCGAGATTTCATTTTTTCCTATAAGGTGTATGCCTTCTTCAGAGAGGCAGAGAGAGACAGAGAGCAAACACAAGAGATCACTCTCCAGGAGGGATGGCTACGCCACAATCCTTTCTCCTCCATTCTCCTCTTGGGAATATTGGGCACACTTGCACATGCTCCCATTGTGAGTTTCAAGCCACTGGGTCTGGGACTCAAACTGCCCTCGACTACATGGGAATCCAGTAACCATTATGGCATCTGCTGGTCCTGGGAGTGGACATTTCAACACTGTCCTGAGAAGAGTCATGGTCATCTTGAAGTTTTGAAACCTGATGGTTTAACGTGTAAGGAAAAAAAGAGCTGGGAACCAGCAGTTAGCGTAATGGCTATGTCGCTGGACTCCCACGTAGTCGACCGCGGTTCGTGTCCCGGACCTGGTGGCTTAAAACTCACGCCGGGCGCGTGTGCGTGCGTGCCCAAGATCCCGAGAGGAGAATGGAGGAGAAGGGATTGCGGCATGGCCATCCCTCCTGGGGGGTGATTTCTCGCTTTCTGTCTCTATGTCTCTCTCTGTCTGTCTGGCGAGCGCACGCGCCCTACAGTGAAAATCTCTCCAAAAAAAAAAAAAAAGCCATTTATAGGGGACTAGCAGATGGCATAATGGTTATGTTGTTGGACTCCCACGTAGTCGACCGCGGTTCGTGTCCCGGACCTGGTGGCTTAAAACTCACGCCGGGCGCGTGTGCGTGCGTGCCCAAGATCCCGAGAGGAGAATGGAGGAGAAGGGACTGTGGTGTGGCCATTCCCTTGAGGGGGGATTTCCTGCTTTCTGTCTCTGTCTTTCTGGCGAGTGCACACACCCTATAACAAAAGCCTCTCAGAAGAAAAAAAAAAAAAAAGCCAGTTAAAATCACATTCAAATGAGCTGGATTAAGAAGCTAATTAACCTGCTATTCATTATTGTAGGTTCATCATTAAAGAATTATATATATGTGTGTGTGTGTGTGTGTGTGTATTTTGCTCGCCCACCTTTCTTGAAAGGACATAAAGATCTTTCTGAAGCATAGGTTTGCTTCATGACTAAGTATGAACAAACCAAATAGAAATGTGTGAAGTACAAACTAGAGTGATACATTTTGAACATAAATTAATAGAAACTTCAGATACTGAAAAGTCTTATTAAAAGGGGGGGTGCGGGCAGTGGCATAGTGGTAATGCAACTGGGAAAGATCCTGGGTTTCCATCCTAGTACCTGCCTGAGCATGCCAGACCTCACATGTGCCCATAAACCAGGCTGACTGAGGTTAGAGATTGAGGATTGTGGTGTGGGAACCCTGTTGGGATGCCTGTAGCAATATGGCTGAGTGTGCAGACATGAGTTTCTTCTGGCAATGGTGATAAGGGAATACATAAGACGAGATATCTGAGAAATCAGGTGTGTATGCGTATGTGCCCAAAATCCCAAGAGGAGAATGGAGGAGAAGGGACTGTGGCATGGCCATCCCCCGGGGGGTGACGTCTTACCTTCTGTCTATCTCTCCTGAGAGTGCACCCACCCCACAGCAAAAATGTCTCTTAAAAAATTTTCAGGAATAGCATATTTGATAGATAGAACAACAGGCATAAAGATAATAAAAGGGGAACAAGCTTGGCAAATTCCGAAGATGGAAATGGAGAGGAAGTTGTGACAATATGCTCAGAGTGAGTCAAGACCTCAGCCTTGCTTCTGGGACTTGTCTTAACTAGGCACTGAAATGACTGTTCCAGGTCACTTTCCATGAAAAGAAAGTCACTGTGCAGTATGTCAGTGATGGAGAAAAGAGATCTGGGTTATGGCTAGAGCTTTTCTTTAACAAAATACATAGATGAAATGCCTCAGAAGCTGAGAAATGTCAGTGACTGAGGTTTCTGTATTAGTGTGTGTGTGTGTGTGTGTGTGTGTGTGTACGTGTGTGTGTTTTGTCTGTTTGGGGATGAATTGTTTTACCTCCTTACAGATCATAATAGGGTGGATGGTAACTGGAAAACATAGGTTTACTTCATGACTATGTATGAACAAGCCAAACAGAAATGTGTGAATTAAAGATTAGAGTGAGACATTTCACAACAGCAACTGAAGGTCCCCACCTGAAATTTTTGCTGATTTTGTATTAATCAGAGCTGACAGAGCAAAAGATGGGAGTCTGAGATCACTTTCAAAGTCAAAGAGAATAATGACAATCATGGGGAGTCAGAAGCAATGAAAGCATAATTCTATCCCATGATATCCAACTTTCTCAAGGCCAGGCCTCAAGGGGTGGAGATAAGCAGTTTGCACAAACCCAGTTTAGGTAAAGTTGGTCTCAAGAAAAATCACTGCTACTCACCACCCAAACAGACTCTAATGGTTAAGACAATAACTCATTTCTTTGGTTTTCATTAAAGGGGTTTCAGGAGGAAGAAGTTAGCAGGGT